TATAATAACAGATTAATTATATAAACAAGTTAAATTATTATGTGGTTATGTGTTTTCAAATTTATGTTACATGAAGTCAAGAAAGTATCACTGAGTACATATGTATTATTAAAAATATATAGGTATATTTTTCAATATCTCTCAATATCTCATCAATTATTTGGTAAGTTATAATTACATACAACATATATATAATTTCTTTTACAATATACTGCATAATTATATTGAATAAAATCGATATTTACATCAAACCTTTCTAGCGGGTATTTTAAATTTAAATGCTTTCTGAGAATTTAAATGTTTTTAAAATCACATTGAAAATTCTTTTGAATAATTTGTAAATGTATTATTGATTTGATTTTTGAAAGAATTAAATTTAATATTCGCTACAAATATAATTTTTTGAGAAAATTCTATTAATTTACATCAATCGGAATGAATTATTTAATTATTTCATAAATTAATATTGTACAACTTTTTGTAAAAAATTATTATTTAATCTTTCAAATATTATTTAATTATAATATTATTTAATTTAATTATAATATTATTTATAATATTATTTAATTTAATTATAATATTATTTATAATATTATTTAATCTTTCATAAAAGCTAACAATTTTTTGAAGTTTTGTTTAATATTTTATTAGTATTTGGTCATTAATGCTTTAGTAATTAATGTTTTAACTAACTGATTATGGTGAAATATTAGAGTACAAAGGATAACGTATATTAACAAATATATAAATTTTTAACTCAACATTGCACGTGAAATATTCTTCTTTGCGATTCAAATAGATTAATTAGTAATCCTATTGTTGTAAGTACAACCTAGTTCTTATCATTTGACGTCTTATCATTATGATAAGAGAATATTTATTATTTTGTAAGTTAAAATATGTACATAAAAGATACTTCATGTCTTCTGTGCTGAATGACGTACAATCTAACGAGCAACAATAAATATCAATCATCGTGCATTTACACCCTATCACAGGACTGATTGAGTGCAAACTGTGCTTATTGCGTATACCTTCCTACAATTCACTTTCCGAGTTGCTTCATTCGTGAACACATCGTGAATTTTACGTTTATGCTTGGAACCAATATTCTTGAAAAAAATAATTTGTTTTAAGAGTTCTACTATTTAATGGTTTCCACGAATAAATAATATATTTGTAACTATTATTTGTTTTTTTTTCAATTTTATACTTGCTATACTTAATGGACAACGTCTAAAAAAACTGAAACATTCTTTCTTAAAGTAAGTAGTTTATATTTTAAATGTGTAACTATTTAAAATAAAGTTTCAATAACAAAAAATATACATATATATATATATATATAAGGTACATTATTCACATAAGTGATTTATAAGCAATTTATTTCAGATTCATTTTTTATTCTATGTTTAATGTAAAAAAAAAGATAGAAGTTTCAATATTCAAATGTTTAAAAATTTTTAGGACTAAAATAGAAATGGATAACAAAGATGCTGTGTTGATGCCGGGTCAACGAATTCGTCCACCGGGGAACATTCAAGTCTCGCAACTCTTAAAAGAACTCTACGGTTTGAAAGCGTCGAGTGTAACCGAAATAAACGCGTACGACGATAGAAACTATCATGTAATTTGTGAGGAATCACATACGAATCCTCATATGACGACTATCAGTAAACATGGCTACGTTTTGAAAATCATCAATTCTTTGGACTCGCAGAAGACACACGTGATCGAAGCACAAACTGAAATGTTACTGTTTCTAAATCAACGGGACATTGATTGCCCCTTACCCGTGAAAAATGTACATGGATTATATTATACTTTGATCAAGTTGAATATCGATGAATGCACCGACAGTTACGCCGTGAGGCTGTTGGTTTATCTGCCTGGTGAACTGTTGCACCGTGTTCCAATTACTGGGGAATTGCTTCGAAACGTAGGCAGATTCGCGGCCAAACTCGACAATGTTCTTATGGGCTTCTATCATCCAGCTTACGACGATCACAAGACTTTGTGGATGTTGAACTCGGTGCCGAAGTTGCGCCAATTTACTTACGCTGTGGAAAATGCATTTGAAAGGGAACTGGCGCATCAGGTGATATCAGCCTTTGAAAAAGATGTGCTCCGCACCACGCTACAGCTAGAGGAGGGTATAATACACGGTGATTTGAACGAACAGAATTTCGTGATGAGCCCGAATGGGAAAGAAATAGCCGCCGTGATCGATTTTGGCGATTCACAACGGACATATCTGATCTTTGAATTAGCTATCACGTTGTGTTACATGATTTTACAAGCTGGTGATGTGGCGATGGGCAAACACGTTATCGAAGGTTACCAGGATATTAAAAAACTGACAGATCTCGAGAAGAAGATCTTGAAAGTTACCGTTTGCGCGAGAATTTCCCAGAGTTTGGTAATGGGCGCCTATTCTCATCTTCATGATCCACAAAATGAATATCTGCTCATTACGCAGAAATCGGGATGGGCTTTATTAAAGAAACTTTGGCCTCTTACTCAGGACGAAGTTCTACAAAATTGGGGACTGTTGAACTGAAGTTTTTGTACACCTTTGATTCACTATCATCATCAAATTAATTTAAGATCAGTTATTGTACTGTACTTGCACCTATTGTCAATTATACAAGCAATAAACATAAATTTATATCACAATAGAATTGAATCCATTAAGAAATGAATTGATACTGTGCAGTGATATATCCTCTGGTTTTATTCGTATTTAGGCAGTTACATATTTACATAGATATAATGAATAATAATGCTCTTCGTATAATAGTGTGGAATCACTTTACATAACTAGATCGTGATATATACAAAAATTCAGATATCGGAAATCAATTCATGAGAAATCGAGTGTTATTGGTAGACAATATTAAAGAAACATATACTTCTGGTGATTAGTTGGATCGATTAGCAATTACTGTGTGGACTTAAATCCTAACTAAATATTCATCGAAATATATCGGTAATGTACAGAATTTATTTATAAATATACTGTAAGACAATATATTTCGATTTTGCACAGTACACTTATATCTGCGTTTAAGGTGGTGAAATCATTTTTATTCGCGTGTGCTTTCATATTACTTAATAGCTCGTAATATATATGTAATATATAATATATACATATACACATTATACATATTATATATATTATATATTATACACACATACATACATACACACATGCACGCACGCACACACACACACACGCACATATATTATTTTTTTATCTTGATTTCAATAATATACTAATTTATTTATATCTCATTTCATTAACATCAGTTCGTTTTGGCAAACTGTCTAGCTGTGTTGAGGCAAATTCGTTGATAGCGAAAATCTGTTCACAATATCGTAGAAAATAACGTAAAGTTGACGTAAATTCAAATAATTTTTTAAAACAACAAAGGATGAATATCTTATACAAATGTTGGATCACATTTTCGTTAAAAATTCAAACTGCACTTAATAAAAAAGAAACTGAAGAATTTAGAAAATTAAAAATAATCGTGATATGATTACACAATATAGACACGATCATTTTTGCAACCGCGTGATCAGAGGCACACAAGTAAATCTCTTCTCTGCCGTTTTGATCTAACAATGGAACGTCATGTTAACGAATTTTCGCCAGAGGTTATTAACAAAATAGTATATTACAGTATACCTATATACTTTATTGCTTAGAATCTATTGGCTTACGTACGCCTCGCGAGGCGCTTATAGGCGCGTAATTCATTTATAACTTATGTTGTTAGTAACTTTTATACTTCATCGTTCCTTAACTTAACATTTTCCATTTAATAATTTATATTACGTATCGTCGAACCTAGAAGTAACGTTATAATAAATATACTCCTGTGAAAACATAACGAAACGCACGTAACACGGAAGGGTGCAGCGGAATGTGTGTGAGAGATTCTTTGGGACGTAAGAAATAGAAATGAATTCCTCGATTCTCGCAAACGTCCGATGGGAACGGTGAACGAAATTAATATAGAAGAAGTGTGTATTATTTCTCAGTCTTCGATAAAAATGATGGTGGCGAGAATCGCGCGCGTTTTTGAAACGTGAACCGAGATAGATCGATCGTGCGTTATAGAAGAAATACGTGTAAAAAAATAAAGCCTTGAAGAATCAATTTTTTTTTTTTTTTTGTGCTACCCTTTACAGTGCGATCGAGATTACTGTTCCGTTCACCCCTCCTCACCCTTCATTTAAAATTTCAATAGCTTTGCAAAGCTCGTCTTCGTAACATCAACGTTAAACGAACTTCTCGACGTATCGTTCCACGACAGCAACACGTCGCAGTAGCTCCTTTTAGCATATAATTATCTTCTCTAATATTTCCGTTTTTATTGAACTTCAACAATATAATTTCTTAACTTGTTGGACGAATGCCGGGATCCCTTTGTTCTTCCCAGGGGTATGAGCGTGCGCAATTAGGAGTCGTGCCAAACTACATGTGATACACGTCCGAGAATTATAGCTTTAATTAGCACACAATTAGGAATTAGATTCTCAGTGAGTGCAACAAGAATCTAACGTTCAGACGCGAACATGATTCGGTCTGGGGCACGGAGAAAGGATAGGGGGACATTTACCAGCGGAAGTAATTTGGTCGATACCGTTTCTTCAATGTGTCTTACATATTTTGCAGTTCGTAGTTTCAAGTGTGATCTTTTATTACTTACATTCTTTCAACAGAC